AAAAACAGTAAAATATATATATATATATAATATTTAAAATATATAAAAATAGTTTCAATTCCCTTTGCAAACAGTATACGCATGAAAGACCTGTCAAGAATCCATATCAAAATTTTTCAATCAAGTTACATTACGTGATTGAAGCAAACCGTGTGATGTAAAAAAGCATTTTCTAGCATATATATTAGTGAAAACAGAATACAGATTTGCCATGTCCATTTGCCTATTTTTCACGCATAGCTCCTGTTTACAATCTCGCTCCGCTCAATGGCCCTTCGAAGTATAATAATAATATAATAAGTATAACAATATATAATAATTTGCTACGAAAACTGTAAATTCTTTTGCTTCAATAACTTTTCTAACGTTTCGAGACCTCCCTAGAAAAAATGTTATAGAGGTGGATTGTTGATCTATTATTTCTAGTATTCGGTATGTTGAACAGGAACCTTGATGCTCTAATAAATTGTACCGTTAGCAGAATTAACAGAAACATAACAACTTCCGTTCTTGAAACTGGCCTAAGAGGCAGCTCTAGTGACATCTAGCGAAATTTTCTGTAAAACAGTTGCTAGAAATTTCATACTCACTCCAACAAATATGGAGCAGACAATGAACTTTGCGACGCTGTGGACGGAAACCTTCATATTACTATTTGTCATGATGTCAATGTGTCGTGGCTAAAAAACACCACCTGCCCATGTTTCGGTTCACTAGAACAAGAATAACTAGGCTGGCGAGGTGACGGGTATTGCTAGTTGGACAAACTACAGAGAATAGTTAGACACTATTCTTTGTAGTTTGTAAAATTTCAGTATCTGCAAGAACGATACTAGTTATAATGGTACCCGTATCAGTTTCAAATTTAAAAAAATATGTATAGCTGGCTAAAGGTTGCCTAACAGGAAATCTTTAAATCATTACAGCAATGCAAAGATTGTCACTACTAGCACTGAAGTGTATTTTTTATATATTCCGTGCGACTATCAATAAAAAAAAATAGATCATTTACATTCATAACATGTATAGAAAATCGGCAAAAACATGGTACACAAAAAGCAATTCAATAAATTTCCATCAAGAGGGACAACTTTGGGATAGGGGGCCAAACTTGGTCCGTTTCGATTTCAGCTTAAGCCATCAAAAGAACTGCTGTGATACAGAGATCTTTCGTACAACAATACAATTTCCTTTATTGTCCAGCCAGCATTTCCACATATTAATTTGTTAACGTACTTCGCGATTTTTATGATATTCCGTTCGTTAAAACTTGTTCAACATAGTAGATAGAATCTATTAGTATTCGTTTATATGGGACACTGTGAATAGCCTTGCACCACCTGATCGAACCAGCTTCTAATGAAAGCTATGCCACGCAGTAAATTGTGCTTCTATCTTACTATTTGCTATTTTTAATGCTCTCATTGAAATATTAGCTCATTTACGTAACTACGTTCTAAAAACAGCGTCTAGACGCTTTGTTCCGTATCATAATTATGAAGGCTAAAAAATCGGGCTTGCTTCTAGGTTGACTAGGTTCTAGTGGAACTCGCCCTAACCTACTGCCCTTGATCCGGATCAACATGTTAAGCTCGAACGTTCGAATCGGCGAAAAAAATGCAAAGGCGCGAGTAAACCGGTGTTCGAAAGGAATACGAACGATATTTTTGTGCTCACTTTGTACTTGTAGAAGCACTAGGCATGGCTGGGCATACTTATAAACGCTATGGAGAAGCTGGTGATCGTGTTATACTGAGTTCCTATCAATCTGGTCGTAACAGCATATGGCTCACTCAAACACTTTGCCACCTAATAGTGGCAAAGTGTTTGAGTGAGTTAAATAGCTTACCATACGTAATACGTATACAATACCATGCAGCTCAAATATATATGCATTCATGTACGTATCTTTTCGATTGGACAGACCCAATACAATAACGCAACCGTTTCAATAGTTTGGTGCGCACATAACTAGTATGAATGAGTGTGACGCAGCTTCTAACAGAGTTACGAGCTCAAAACACTGAGGTACTCAAAAAGCAAATCTATGCTAGCATCATCTATGCTAATGCCGTTCAAACATCGCCTGGGTCAGCAAATGACCACAATAACATCAAAGCATACCACATGCCTATAGCCTATTCTGTTAGTGAAACTGGCAGGACCTCTGAAGATGACCTAATAACCATGGCTGCATTTTCGCTTTTGGTCTGCCTTTGGACAAGAACACATCAGAACGACTGTTTTTTGCTTCGGGTCATCGTTCCTAGGCATTGTCCTAGATTTACAAATGGAATGAAGCAGTCCAAGTTTATATAGAAAGAAGGTTCCAGGATCGTGACCTCATCGAGTACATACAAACATCTATGTGTGCGCTCTGCTCACATGGTTTTACAGTAAACTCCAGCCTAGCACACTGTGTTGGTAGCTTTAGTAGCGAAGATGTATATATCTTAATTAACGAGTAACAACAACCTTCATTTCTGGCGTACACATATATGCGACCGACATAGGCGTGAGATGATGGCGAGACACGATCTAGGCCAAGGCATGTATACATCTCATGGTAGAAAGGCTAGTACTCTCTTTTTATTCACGTTCGAATAAATCTGGAAAAAGGGTGGGCATATATATGTATTACCTCTATAAGTAAATTTTAAAGTAAGAAAGAATCCTTGTTCATCACAAAGCAACGGCAACAGGGGTCACTGGGGACCTAGGTGTTTTTGTGCCCATAATGACAGCAGCCTGAAGTAGACTTAAACGAACATGTCCTTGCATAAATATGCAGCGTGCAGACGAATTCCATGGAGGTGGCACGCTGGGTGTCTATCCTATTCGTGATGAGAGTTCCCCGGGCAGCCTAGTTACGTGCTATTCGAAATAGGATATTTCATATGCCCTGTAGAATTGGTTTGATGTCGATCCAACAAAATAAGTAAGGAATTGACCTATCTGAAAGAGAAGCAGATGCAACAACAGTTAGTGGAGTGGTCGGTTTCTCTTGGCCTTCGCCCAACGTGTTTACTTTCTGCCTGCCGAAGAAAAATAGTATTTTTGGCTGACGCTAACGTGACTGAGTTCCTGCCCCAAAAAGGCGCCAGTGGGTACTCGCGTAGAAATAGGTTGATATCGAAAGAGCGGCGGCCGAGACTGTATTTTGGTGCTATAAAAGCCCCGATAGGATCATTCATGTAGGCGAAATACCACGAATGTGTGTTACTTTAAACAGATTTCACAGTAGGAAGACTTGCGAAAAAATAGTCCTTTTTCGACAGGGGTTTAAGGTCCCTGCATTATCCGTCCACCAGTTCGATTAGTACTACGAAGTGGCGAACGATACACTTGTGGAAAAGGCGTTAGTTTTTCTGTCGTGCCTGTCTCCACCATTTAACGCGCAGTAGTCGAGAGCAGCCGATACAACGGTTAACACCTCAGGAAAGGATGAACTCTTTTTAAATGTGAAAATTAGGAAGATGGAGTAAATAGGATTCAGAACAAGCACAGCAGATCAGAATCGACGGCGGCCCAAAGAACACCGAATAATGACACCCAATAGCACAGCCTGTCACGGGGGCGGAGGCGAACCTCGATTCTATTATTTTTTTTCCTACTAAATCGAACTAATTTGCCGAAGGTTTTTAGAAAGTTCATAATTGACTCGATAGAGACTTTAAGTGTGCTTTTTATTCCGGCAGTGCCGAGGTTGATGCACGTTTGGTAGATCATCGGCGCAACCAAAAGTGCACCATAATCATGAACATGCAATACGTTGCCGGCTCGATTCGCACAATATTAGTGCATATGATTACCATGGCGTTTCATTGGTCTATTGGAGAAATCTGCGATGACTTACCCCGGCTAGACTATCTAGCTAGGGCAAATGTTGTTTGCCTGTCAAGCTCAGGGACGCATCGTTGTTGATGTTCATAACAGAAAATAGAAAAACTTCATATTGTGATAAGCAAACTCTAACGGCTTAAACAGAGGACTTGAAATATTTTTGTCGTAAAAGGTACCAGTCATTGATGTTACAATAAAGAAATGGTTCCGAGCACTTGCTCACACAATCCAGCTCTGAGATATACGAACGTTACGAAAAGCAACGCTTCTGGCCCGGACATCATAAACCGAATATCTTCTAGTCGAGACTCAAATTCTAAATACGTTTTGCAAATACGAAATGATGACGGTAACTGTGTAAGCTTAGAAATAACCACGAACGTCACGAGCAACTAAGGGCTCGAGGGGCAGGTTAAAGCCTTATTTACGAAGTATTTAAAAAAAATCCATTCTCAGGGAGATTGTTCAGCCTTTTAGAATACGTACAAAAAATTACAATGCTAACTTGATCATTTGAAGGTTTAAATAACCAAATTTCTACACTTTTTTGGGACCTTCGCTGGGCTATA